TGGTGATGACTAGCTGCCTTCCCTCTAGTCTTACACTGCTAAATTAGGGACGGCTAGCGCAGATAGCCCTCGTGTAGCTTTGCGCGAAATTCCAAAAACAAACAAAACAATTCATAGTACGTAAAGAATCTTCAGTGGTTTAGAACCATAAACAGAAAGATAGGTAGGTAGATTGCTAGCTGGACGAGATTCATCTTTCAATGGATAGATGTTTTTTTTTTTTAGGAAAACAAATAGAACCTAAAATACGACAATATATATTGGTCCTTCGGGGGGTGAGCGGTATGTTTACTGACTCACAACGCTAAAATGTGGGGTTTGATTCCCCGCAGTGGACACAGCAGATAGCCGAATGTGGCTTTGCTTTAAAATACACAGAGTATATATCGTTGCCAGTAGCAAACTTCATTCAATTTAAATAAATCGAAAGAAGGACCTGATTATGAAACGTGGAACGTATCATCGTAGTAAAAATTCAGATAATCTTTCTACACTGATAATATACATTGTTAAGTCAAACTTGAAGCTGGATTGGCCAATCAGGGATTGTTTATTAAAATATTTATAATAACGTTTGTAAAAAATAGTTTATTGTGTATGAAGTTAGAATGTTTATATTTTCTTTCGGAAAAACCTTTACTTAGCCCTCTTATTTCCGAATCCCTTAAGAAGGGATTAGTTTAATGGTTTAGAAAACAATAATCCTACGATTTAAACACACAATGTACCAACCATAGCAGGATATAAACCAAAATACTGATTTACTTACACCCATTCAGTGCTAATTCTCTCTACCTGTATACACTTTGTCCTAAACCTCTTCTGTATTTTCCTCTACTGTTGTCTTATATTACTTGTAGTGTATACACCGTGTGATCGGGTATAAAGTGAAACTTGTTACCTTAGCTTTTTCTTGTGTTAATAACAGATTCTTTTTTCCACTGGCCGTACTTGTTATCTATATATATATATAGATGAAATGTGTGTTTATTTACACCATACTGGGCCAATCTAAACCAAATTGTGTGTGTAAACACTATGAACTATGGGGAATGTTCTAAGGAGATGAAAATTGAACTTAACCCTATTTCTATTTAGCAAAGCCTGTTGGTTAATTACTCCCAGCCTATTGAGTCGATCTCAAACAATATTGGAATGTTAACATTTTAGACAATGTTGAATATTCTTAAGGGATTCAAGTTGTTGGATTGTTTCTCAAACAACCATGCTTTTCTCATGGTCAATGAGATATAGAGTGTTCAATGGTGGAATCACCTCAAAATCTTTATTTGTTGGTAGATAGAAAGCAAACTGCAAATGTTGTTTATGAAAAAGTTTTGTTATAATTTTAAAATTTTGAGATAAAGTTTATGTCCAAATTATTACTTTGAAATATATGATTGCTGTGAAACTTACATCGTTTTAATTAAGTTGAAACATTTCAACTTGTAACAGAATAAAAAACTTATACCTTCCTACTTTAACTTCAAGTCGCTCAACCTTTTTGAGGAAATTATAGGAATAACACTTTTAATATAATAAGATCCCATTTATAAGTTCAAACTTCTTTGTTTCTAAGTCATGCAGATGTTTTGTGTGTTGTTGTTGAAAGTATATATTCTGCTTAATGACTTAGTGCTCGCCCAAAACATCGAGACTTTAGTGCTAATTATACGTGTTGGAATAAGTTACGATAGTAGCTGTTTTTGAATACAATGCATATTCAGAATATTCAGCGTTCAACAATAACCCGGTCAATTTTATCAAGTGACATGCACAGTAAAGCGTCAGCGTGAAAATATTGATAACATAAATTGAAAATAAAGTTGATTTTTTTGGTGTATTATAATAGATATTTTCGAAAATTATAAAATGATAAAATTATGAATGAAACACTACAAATGTAACCCAGTGTCTTGAAATACTAGTTCCATCAGATATAAATCCTTGGATTTTGTGTACTGACTATTACCTATAAATTTATGCAAGTTAATTAAAATTACAGCTCGAACATCTCTGATTCCCCGGCGGGATAGCGGTAACTCTACGGACTTACAACGCCAAAATCCGGGGCTCAGTTCCCCGCTATGGACACAGGAGACAGTTCTATGTGGCTTTGCTCTGAAACAACAAACGAACATATCTGAGTCATCAGAAAGTGTCGAAAATTATTATTATTATTACATAGCTGAACAATGTATTTTACTTTGTATTTTACTGTGGAATATGATAGTTATTAGCATAATAGCTGATATGGAAGCATAATTAACTTTATATACTTTATATCTACTTTAACATAATCTGTATCTACTTATCTTAATGTAACGAGATAGGTTAACATTTTATGTAATTGAACCTTGAAAATATGATTTCATAATTAATAACTTACGTTAATTTTCAGACATGTAGACAAGTCGCCACTTCGTAATATATCACGATATTTGTTTGTTTTGTCTTTCAATTTCTCGTAAAGCTACTTGAGGGATATTTTTGCTGGTTGTCCCTTATTTTGAAGTGATAAACTAGAGGAAAAGCAGCTAATCATCTGGCCAGGTGGTTAAGGCACTTGAATCGCAATCTGAGGGTCCCACCAAACATGCTCGCCCTTCCAGCCGTGGGGGCGTTATACTGTGACGGTCAATCCTACTATTCGTTGGTAAAAGAGCAGCCTAAAAGTTGGTGGTGGGTGGTGATGACTAGCTGCTTTCCCTCTAATTTTTCACTACTAAATTTGGGACGGCCAGCGCAGATAGCTTTGCGCGAAATTCAAAACAAGCCAAACCAAAACTAATCAATAACACGCACCGCCAACTCTTCAGCTACTTTTTACCAAAGAAGAATAGGATTGATCGTCACATTATGCCCTCCAGTGGCACAGCGGTATTTCTGCGGACTTACAACGCCAGAAACCGGGTTTCGATATCCGTGGTGGACAGAGCACAGATAGCCCATTGTGTAGCTTTGTGCTTAATTACAAACAAACAAACAGTTACATTATAACGCCCCCACGGTTGAAAGGGCGAGCATGTTCGGAGATGGATTCGAACCCGTGATAATATACCATGAACTGACAAAAATCGAAAAGTTCATTCAGTTATACTTGTTCATTTATTGCAAGGACAACATTTTAAAACAAAGGATCTCGTGCTGATGTTTTAGTACGTTTCTTCCCAAACTTGAATTTTAGCCTAGTTTTCAAACAATTTTATGGAATGTCATTCGTATTTCCACTACCCGTCTATCAGAATTTTCATATTATATCCATATCAAACACAGTATAAAGTATATAATTAATATGCAAATTTAGTATACTTGAAGGTACATATCTAGTAAGGTAAATTAAACATATTAATCATATACTGTTTATCTGTTTACTAATAGAGACCCGCAAAACGTTTGTGGTCAAATGAATATGTTTAATATCTTTAAATACGGGAATTTTAGAATAACAAAAGATAATTCTAATAGCAGACATCAAAATCTATAAGTCCACTTGTCTTAGGCCTAACTTTAGTTGAGCTTTTAAGTACGGCCTATATTCGATAAAGAGATAAATTAACACTGTACCTTATAAGCGTTATTTTGCTTTAGTTTTATTAGGACTAAACTTTACCGTACTTAATACTATCGATAAATAAAAGTATAATGTTATTCTATGACCTAATGTTGACCTTTTTAAAGACTTTGATAAGCTTTTAACATGTTGTCCAAAATGTTTATTAAAGTATATTTACACCCGCCTTTTGATTACATCCGTTGAAATGAAGTGCACGCGCTTGTGCATATTAGAGAGTAAGATGCTCGGGCATTTTTAGGACAGACAAAAACTGAATATTATTATAATGAATTCCAGCTTCTTATGTTTAGCACAGATAGCATCTTATCTAACAGCCTATATCCACTTCAGTTTCCACAGGATAAACACTAACACATCTAGGTAATTTATGCTTAGAGCATAATAAGTGTTCGTCCTGTGGAAACTGATGTGACTGTAATAGACCACAAAGACCATAAAGCTAAAGCTGATATTTACTTAGTTAATAATTAATGAAATAACCATATCTTTAGCATGACGTTCGTGACGAATTTGTTTGAACTATAGATGTTGATATATCGCTATTTTTAGCTTATTTACATATACACATGCATTATTTTGTGTATATAGTTTAACTGTTGCAATTATTTCAAGTGGTTTAATCTCCAAGCATGCAAACGTTCCCCACCCCACCAATTTTCTACAGTAACAATACCATATTTAGATTTTTACATCTTTGAACACATGGAGCAATATAAATTTAGGACTGTATTTGGAATGTTATCCTACGTTTCTTTACGTATGATTCTTGATAACGTCAGGATAGGTTTATCAAATTTGTGAAAGTAAAAACTGCTGGTGATATCTTTTGAAAATATCTTTTCGCATATTATATACATATACATATATTTTACGAGAAACATTTCAAACGGCCACAAATGGTTCATAAATCTAATAATTGTACTATTATCAGATCAATTCGTCGTAAGCCAACTGTAATTTATTTTGAGAATGATTATAACTTATTCTAAAATCAAACCATGAACTGGGGAAGTCATTGTTGGTCATTGTTCAACGCTGGCACATTCCACAAAAGAAGTTCTCATAAGCGTCAACTCGATGAGAATGCCCTCTTCTCGGCAACTATGTTAACTAGTTTATTGGGAAGACATACTGTTCCAGTGTTTACACGTTTATTATTCTTGCAAAATTAGTTTGCGGACTTACAACGCTAAACGGTTTCTATATCCGTGGTGAGCACAGCACAAATAGCCTATTGTGTAGCTTTGTTCTTCAGTACAAATAAAGAAACAAAAAAAAAAGCGTTGTTTACAAATTAAGATTGAATCGTACAGATTAATAATACAAGGAGAAATAGTTCGTACTCAATAAATAAATCATTGGCTTGTATAAATAAATACATTTTAATACTAAGTTTTATAATCACACCAACTACCACAAACACTACAGACTTGTGTTAAAGTGTTTACACGTTAATGATTTTAGCTTTAGTATTGAAAGCAGAACACTCCTAATAGTTATGTCTTATTCATCTTTATTGGTATTAGTCTCGTTTGGAGCTTCAGCATATCGCCCTTAACCTGTATAGTTATTTATAAAACAACATTTCAAATGAGACGAATCATCTCTGTTCCTTTCTGAAGACGAACCTTTTGACAATGTCCGTGTTAGGGTTATATATATATATATATATATTGAAATGATACAAATTGAAGTCGCGTTATGTGGCATGTCGTGATATTTTCGGGTTTTGTTTCAGTTCCACTCTTTCAAAGTGTAATTTAAATCGATCATTAATAAGTTACTTACACATTCACTCTGATCATTGAATTACTAAACGATGATCTATAGCTCACTGCTTTAAATAATATCTCTCACCCTTTTAAATGCATAGAGATGTGTATATTTTTAACTCCATTTTGTTTGTTTGATGTTAACACAAAGTTCCACAACAGGTTATCTTTGCTCTACTTCCAGAAGGTATCGAAACCCAATTTTTATTCAGTCGCTACACTTGCATTTTTTGGAAACTGCTTCTTTAACCTTATACTTTATGATGCAATTCTATTGTATGACAGAGTCCAGCACTTTTAAAATCATAAGTATACAGTCATCAGATTGGATTGTAGGATCAAAAGCGAAGTGAGTAGAGAAGGGTTAAAAAAATTATCACTTTTAAGCTTCTAATGAATGATTTGTGAAACATTTAACCTCTGCTTATGCAGTACATTGCTTATTATCTAAAACGTTTCAGAAATGTGCCCGTAAAACATTAGAAATGGCTGCTAAAATTCATGACTTAGTTTCGATAGGATCTAATAGCCCTTGTGGCAACGAAAATCCACTTCTCTGATCAGATCTTTTGTCAGACAGCGTTTTATTTGTCTGATACTTGACATTGTAAACTTGTTAAACTGACAGTTATTTCATAAATGGCCCGTAGCAGTTTACGAAATGTCGAGATGTTAGCTTTCTCTGTCGTGTTTCGTGATTTCTATACTGTGATTACAACGATGCATTGCTAACAACATAGAAAAAAAACACATTAAAAAACCTATAATAAAATTAAAGCTTCAAACCAATATTACTTGTTTTGAAAAGCCCGTGTGTGTATGTTTAAAGGTGGTGATTTTTTTATTTTGTTGGTTTATAATTTTCGCGCAAAGCTATATGAGGACTAACTGGGCATAATTGTTCCTAATTTTGAACTGATAAATTAGAGTTTAGGCAGTAAGTCGACAGCGCTCACCGCCAGTTCTTAGGCTACTCTTGTCTGATCGAATAGTGAAATTTGACCGTCACTCTTATAACACAACAACAGCTTTAAAGTGTTGAGCACGGTTTTACCGCAACGGGACGCGAGCCATGATCCCTCAGATTCACAGTCGTACTCGATAAGTACTAGGACACACCAGGCTTTATTATTATTATTTATTAATCTGTTATTTTAAGTACGATAGTACTTAATTGTAGGGATCGACAAGGATTCCAAATAAATCACGCGCTGAAAAACTACCCTATCGAATTCCTAAACGAAACTTACCATTCAAAGTATTGGTTACGATATATTATGCGCATTTATACTAATAATACGTTCAAAAGACGGCTGAGATTTCCGGTATAACAATTCAAATATTTCTAAAACTAACTTTTTCGTCTACTACCTACCCACCTGATCACGTCAGCGGTGATAGCCTAGTTCGGACTATCATTACAAGATCTCTCCAGAGAGATGGTCGGATAAATATATACAGATTTTTTTAAATAAATGGTAAACATATCATTCACGTACTTAAATATATTTTCAACCCAACGGATGGCGCTACATATCGATGGATTGTTTGTTTGTTTGTTATGAATCTCGCGCAAAGCTACACGAGGGCTATCTGCGCTAGCCGTCCCTAATTTAGCAGTGTAAGACTAGAGGGAAGGCAGCTAGTCATCACCACCCACAGCCAACTCTTGAGCTACTCGTTTACCAACAAATAGTGGGATTGACCGTCACTTATAACGCCCCCACAGCTGAAAGGGTGAGCATGTTTGATGTGACGGGGATTCGAACCCGCGACCCGCAGATCGCGAGTCGAGCGCCATAACCACCTGGCTATGCTGGGCCTACTCGATGGACAGGCACGCGACAGTTTGTAAAGGTAAACTATATACTTTATATAGGTATAAAAAGTAAACAAACAAGAGTATTAAAAATTATGAATTTTAAAATGAAGTAAGGTTTCCTGCTATAAAAAGCAATGAAACAAGAATTAAAACCACAATCACAAATTTATAAAATTTAATCCCTATTTGGCAGCTTTATACACTTATCTGTAGGCCAAAGTAAGGATTAAAATTCATCATTTTTAATACACTTTAGGCCGTGAATAACGACGCTCACGTAACTGCAAAATAAAGGAAAGTTGCTATAAAATATCATCAGAGTGCCATAAGTGCTACTAATATCTCGTAATATAAGAAACGTGGTCAAATCATATAATAAGATTATTGATGCATACATGTGAAATCATTTTACGTAATAAGGCAACATCAACTGACGCAGACATTGTGAACTAGTTACGTCTGTGTACCTAAAAAATTTTGAACAGTTTAAATACGTCAACAATGATTATTGTTTCTCTTTTGGATAAGAGTGGGCGCATACAGAGACTGTTAACAGAATCGTACACGAAAAACAGAAACATTTTCTGGGTTAGATGAATGAGGAAAATTCTATCCATCTGTGTTGTCGTTCTTTAGTTTTGATGATAACATGACAAGTGTATTCAAAAAAATTCATTTAAAAATGAAATAAGGATCTTGCTATAAAAAGTAATGAAACAGATTAAAACCAAAATCACAAAGTTATGAAATTTAATTCTTACTTTGACCTACAGATAAGTGTATAAAGCTGCAAAAGTAGGGATTAAACTTTATAAATTTGTGATTGTAGTTTGAATTCTATTCATTTTAGAATTCATAATTTTTGAGACTCTAAGGAATGATAGAAATTGTTGTTTTCAAACGTCCTAAGACGCTTTTGTTATTTTTCATATTTTTTGTTCATTAGATACACACACGTTTAATCTCTATACATTATCATTAATTGATAAGATATTAGATAACTCTTAGAAGAAATAGTAGTGTTAAGACTTTATATAAAACTCGCTAATAGTTTCAGAGCTGAGATGAAGGAATGTTCATCCAAACATGACGATTTGCATAATACGTGTTTAGTTTTCTAGCGATTTTCACTAAATCGTAGCTATTGAGAAACAGAATTTAATTGATCCTAATACAAAAAAAAAAATGATCTGTAGATGGGGTATGTGATTTAGTGATAACGTCTGAATTTTCCATTTTCATTTTTACGTTTGAGTGTTACAAAAACGTTATATATATTGCCTTCAAAACATCTCTAGTAGTTGCATTTAACTTTAGACATCATTTGAGAGACAAATTCAATATTTCAGTAGTTCGATTAAAACGTGCTGGGAGGAGTTTTAACCGTACATATGCTTTCAACTGTTCTGAGTCTCATAAGTCGCCCATAGATTTCCCCGGCTGGCGTCTCCGAACACCCCAGGCTTATTTTATGATCTTTATGAACGCACATCGTCAGTAAAACTGATTATCGGGAACTGATTATTGGGTAGACTAGAAGAATCATCACTCTCCAGTGCACTTCTTTTCCTGTCACCATGACAACGACATCGATTTGTGAGTAACAGTAGCACCATGGTATCCAGCCTATATACACTTGGACCCGATCAATATACAGTCAA